CCGTTGATTGGTGCCGTATCTAGACTATTTTTGGGCCCGCTGTCTCCTCGTTTGATGGCTCGTTGTCGGCTGGCCTTCTCCTCGCCCTTGTGCCAAGAGGCCATAAACCTCTCAGCTCCCTGTAGCACCCCCGCGTGCCACGGTACCCCCCCCTCCACCTTCGCCGCCTCGTCCCAGTCTGGCTTCGGGATTCCGAAGAAGCTCCGCTTGTCGGGCGTGGAGCCGTGTCTGGCTTCGAACATCTTCAGGTCGTCCTTCAGGCATATCAGCCAGTTCTGCTCCGGGCTTCCCCGGCCCGGGTTCTCCCCTCCCACCAACTCGCCGAACATCAGCCGTTTCGGAAGCCGCCCGTCTGGCTGTCTTGCCACGGCCCCCGCAAAGAGCAGGCGCCGTTGACGGACAGTGGCCTCCACGCTCTGGCAGCCGACCCTCTTCAGCGCCTGGGCGTATGACAGCTGCCGGTAGGTGCCTCGTTTGCGCCGGTAGCCGATAACTCGCAGAAGCAGACGGTGGTGTGTCGTCTGCAGCAGCCGGTAGTGGTCGCGGCGTAGGGACCATGTCATGCAGCCGTATAGCAGTGCCGCCACTGCCTCCACCTGGAGTAGGCGGGCCTTGAGGCGAAACGGTGCTCCCGGTCGGTCGAAGAGCTCCGTGGCGTATCGCCTAATGCACGCCGTAGTACATACGTACATTCATTTACACACAACGTTCGGTAGACAAGTGGTGTTCTTTCGAATCTTAACTCCTCACTTACCACAGACGGCTTTTGCCTAGTCCGCCATCCAACCCGTCAACAGGTTTCCCCCCCCTAATATAATTACATCCACGCCGACTTGGTGCCTCGAATACTAACTCCAAGGTGCAACCGGCGGCCGATAGGTCGCCGGCGTAAACCCCCTTGTATCTAAAATACTGGTTTGGCGAGAAGGAGGGCAAAAAGTCCACCTTTTGCCGCAATATCCCCTGTCGTAGCCCCGGGAGGCAATCGTTAAGTGTTGAGGCCGAAAATCACGCAAGGCGAGATAAAAGGCAGGGAGGCACCTTTGAAAGAGAGAAAATACCTGACCGAGGAAACAGTCTCCGGGGTGTTGTTCCGAACCAGAGACAGCGGTACACCACACACGTTACGAGATATGGTAGTGTTGAAGAAACAGAAAGGATGGAAGTAGCTGGGAAACACTCCGCGATTGAGCTGATGTTCAACACTTGGTGTGCGACCACCACTATTGTTACAGTAGGGAAACGCGGCATGCCGCAGAATGACCGTCCATGAGTGAGTGTTTTTCGACAATCTTTGAAGCCGTAGTTGAACGTCAAGCGCCTTGCGGATAGTGTTCATTCGTTGCTCACGCGGGATCAGCAGTCTGTAGTTGAGACCAGTGACACCCCGGAACGCCCGGAACGGTGGCTTCAATGTCAAAAACGAGCGCAGTGATCAATGTACAGCTGAGACACGTTCGTTTCGTGTTGTCTTCGTGCTTTTGTTGAACTCCACTCGTAAACCAACCGCCAATTAATATGTGTACGTATCATTTTTATGTTCTGCATCTACAACTTTCTCTCGCGGCAGCGAATGTTTAATCATGGTTCCTTCCCAAGGGCACGCAAGTAGCTCGCCGGTACAATAACCGCGCGTGCCCGGGGACCGCCAGCCCTCTATTTCGAGCGGGGGCATCCCGAACCACAAAAATCCTTCTTCGCAAGAAAAGCCAAGGGTGTGCGAAAAAACTTTTTTTGCACACCTAGGTACTCACTTTCTTATTTGGGAGGATTTATAAGGGGGAAAGGGTACGAAGTGACCATCCCCACCCCCAGAACGCGATACCAAATCCTATATAACACCATACTATACTTATTTCCATACAAAAGGGGCGCCGTGTGCTCTATAGGGGACCCACGGTGCATCTGCGTGCCCCCTAGCCATGTGCGCCAAGCGCCAGCGCGCCAGCACGGGCCGCTCGTGGCATGCACGCGGTGTGTTGCGTACCAGCTAGGCAAGAGGGACAACATGATCAGCGCTGCAGGACGTGGGTTGTGACTCCCCGCAAAGGTGCACCGCAGATTCATTCAACTGCACTCTCGCGCCAAAGACGGACTCGCGAAGTTCTGTCGTTGGAATAGGCCTGAAGTCGGCGGGTGAAAGCTCCATCGCCACACCATGCACCAATGTGCCGCTGAATTTTTTGCCTTCCCGAGCGTTGGGTGTGAAAGTACTCCATGCCCTACCACGTACAGGAACAGCACGGCGAGGTATTCCCCATGAGAGAGAAGGATCCCGATACTGTGAGAACGAAAGCCAGCTACGACGTATGCGAGCAAGAGAAATCCAACGTGAAGGCAAAGCTGAAGAAGGGTCCGGGGGCTAGATGCCTGTCGCTGCTGCACGGCGCAAGACTAGTCAAAAACGTTCTCGGCCCGCACTAGCAGTAACAGTAGCTTGGAGTCGAGCGAAGAGGGAGGAGGCAGTGAAGAAGAGGGAGGGGGAGAGGACAGCGAGGAAGAGGGAGGAGGGCAGGGGGGGGAGGAGGAAGAGGAGGAGGAGGAGGAGGAAGAGGGGGAAGAGAGTGAGGAAGAGGAGGAAGAGGGTAGAGAGTGGAAGAGGGTGAGGAAGAGGAGGAGGAGGAGCAGGACAAAGGAGGAAAAGGAAACGGAGCCAGATGTAAGCTTCCGGGGGCGTAGACTTACTCCGAAACGGCGGTATTCGGAGTTGGGGTAGGTCGAAGTGCGATGATGATGGCTGTTGGAACGGAACACTGCTGTGCATAGTTGGAAACTCCTACTATGTTCCGCGGTGTCCGTCGATCATTTTAGTTCTTTGTTCACGCGCTCAAAGGCGTGATGGTTTTCCGGGTGCTGAGTTCAATGAACTTTGATTCGAGGATAGGGTGTGGATGATGTGGAACTTTGTCGTGTACCATTCCTCCACCAACGCGTTTCTCGGCTGTAGCCAGTACAGCGAGCAGTCAAACAGGGCACAACACTATGCGTACCAATGTTAAGGATGCGGGCAACAAAAACAAGAGAAAAAATGAGGGAAAAGTATATGTTCTTAAATTTGGCCCTCCCGCGGGGTGGGGGGGTACCTAGGTGTGCGGGACAACTTTTCCCGCACACCCTTGGAAAAGCAAAAACAAATTCTACAGTAGCGGCTACGGTTAAGAGAGGGTCGAGACAAGCTAGAATTTTTCTCTTGAATCAGGTTTTCTTTTAAATCGGTTTTAGCGATAAATCCTCTTGAACCGTAGACAATGAAGCTAGGCCGTTTTAAAGTGGATGTCTTGCCTACTCTGCCATATGAAGATGCTCATGGCATGAAATATATCGTGTAAAAACACTGCGTCAGCGCCTTGTTGAGATTGCTCGGCCCACACTGAACATGGGACAAGAAAAATAGCGAGCCATGAAAGTACGGAGAAAAAAATGAGGCAGATATCTAGCGTGTCGGATATATCATGCGTGTCTCAGATTAATGGAAAGACGAGCTCGATCAGTCTGAAGCAGAAACGGGCAATTCCTCGGGGGCAGCCGTAGTACGTTCGCCATTGTACTTGGGGGTACGTGGCACAACACTATTATTGTTGTTTACTCGAGGATATCGCCGAGCAAGAAGGGCTCCATGCACAGCGCCAAGTTTGTAACGCAAAGTAAGGTAGCGTGGACGAGAGAACGCGGGCCGACGAAAGCCAAACAGACGTGCACGACTTCATGTAACGTGACACAGTGGTAGGAGGGAGTTCTACGGGACCGGGTGGGGCGCACAGACAGCTAGCTGGGCCGCAGACACGGTGCATCTCGTCGTGGTGCGCCGTGAACCCTGGCGGGTGGCGCGTGATCGGGACACTCAAGCAACGGCTGCGGGCATGGTACCTACGGTTTTGGGTGTGTGTAATGTACGGTTTTGACTCCGTCGGGGGTTCGATTTAAGGCAATACTCCCCTTCTTCCCCTCGATGCCTCGGGAAGGTTTTGCGTAGGCATGACCCAAAGCGAGGGGGGGGGTCTTTCTAGCGAGCAGGGCTAGACTCACCTTCAAGGGACCGATACCTTCTTGCTGCGGCGCACCCGCCGCCGCGAGGCGTGCGTAGTGGTGGAGTTGGGTCGGCACTGGTGCGTTAGGTACGAAGGTGCAGATGCGCGGGCCTCCAGGCCGTCGGTGTAGGCAGCAACGCTCGTCTCATCGTTGTGCGCGGAGGCAGACGTCATCAGAAAGGTAGACGGGCACTATGTACACGGCCCTAGGTTTGCTAGAGGGAGCTGTACTGTCTCAGTAACTTGGTTTTGCCATCAAAGGAGGAGGGGACAGGTGGTGACGAGCTGATTGGGCTGGTTGACCCTTCCGCGCGAGAATTTTCAGACCAAGAACCCTAAGTGCAACGAGAGAGAAAGCGAGGAACCGACTGGGATGGACAGCAACGAGAGCGTGTACGAAGCGGAGCGGGTCGAGTTTGGTCGTGCTAGGACTGGCCACAGCGGCACCGGAGCAGCGGCACCGGAGCATGCGGACGGCATCGAACCGTGGCGCACGGACAAACATCTCTTGTGTTGTCAATTATTTTCCGTTTTTTCCCTGAATATAGGTGTTCGGTGTGTGTGATGACGTCACTGGTTTTGTAGAGAGAAGCGGCAGAGATGGCGCGGATAACCCGGGTGCCTTGATTGTGTATCTGCATCGTGGAAGACCCCTTCAATGTGGAACGATTCCTAGTCAGTGTCGATGTTTACACTGCTGTGCCTAACACAGATGATCTGGATAGGTTCGGGTGATGGTCAATTGCAATGATGGCTTTGGTTGGGTGTTCTTCTTCATTGTATGTCCACGGACTCATTCTGACAGCACTTCAGACAGCAGCTGCATGCCCCGAGCTTGTGTACCATGCACCATGGTGTTATTATTGTACAGACAGCACTTCAGACAGCAGTACACTGTAGTCGACAAACATTCATTTTGGTTAAGTGCGGGCCAAGGGGGGTGATGCTGCTGCTTTAATCGAATTGTGGTGTGTGGGCGTGTAGTTCAGTTGTGAGCACGTAAACGTGCTGCAGGGATTGCAGGTGTACCTCCTCGGGCTTGTGTGCCCTTTTCTTGCTAATAGTGTGCATGTTCTTTAGATCTTCTGATGGCTCTAGCATTTTTGTGACCACGGACCGAGTCTTTGCTAGATGTTGGGATTAGCAACTGACACGAGTTCAATGTGAAGAAAAACAACAACAACAATACGACTGGAGGATGGTAATTTCTCTCTTATGACGGCCAGAGGCGTGACAAGCCAGTTTTACTCTCTTAACCCGTCCCATTTTTCTTAACTTATCTCTGTTAAACCGTAGCCACCACTGTATACATAAACAGGAAGACATTTGATTCGTGCAAAATGCATACACACGTTCCCACAGACCATGGGCAACACGGCACAAATACACAAAAACGAGCGACCCGCCCCAGCGGGTTAGCAGTAGGATGTGCGGCAAAGACGCCGCTTGCCTATAAGCGCAGCCAGGAACGTTCCAGGGCCGAGACAGTCGCAGGCGATGCCACTGAATGCTTTTGGGGTAGATCTTTGCCAACCAATTCATGCTTCTGTCATAAACGAGGCAAACAGCACAAACGAACCGACCAATCGCGCATGACCCGGGATTGTGCGTCATTCGGTGTCCTCTCACCCATGTTACCCTGTTAGAAAATGGATATGATGGGAGCATGACGCGATTTCCAATGTTGTCGCGAGGAAGGTCGTTTACCTGCAGGCCTTCATTAAGCGTGTGCGTTCAACATGGGTGGGTGCCGTCTGCTGTTGGTTTAAGTATCGTTTTCCTTGGTATTTACGAGTTGGAAGGACTACATACACACATCTTGAGTCAAACACAACAGATTTTGTTTGGTGCGCGCCTGATTCGTATTTCGTAGCCATGAGCGCCCGCGGCGACACCTTGCATCAGGGGTGCATAAAACTCCTATCCAGGTGTTCCACCGTCATTTCTCATGGCGGAGTCGGCCATTGCGATGTTGCAGTGGAGCCGTCAGGCCACCGCAAGCATTTTGGAAGATTAGAAATATAGGCAACTTAGGCAACTTGTTGCTTTCACCCGAGCTGACCGCTCCTGAAAGCAAACAGCCGACCTTCGCGACAAATCTGGACAGGAAGTAGTGGCGTGCTCCCGACGTGTTCCTTCTCTAACAGTTGTGGGTGAAAACGGGCAGGGGGGGTGGGAGGATGCCACAGCGCCCGATCGTAGATGGATGTGGTACATATCGGCTTTCTGGCTCGTCTATGGAAAAGGTATGAGTTGGTCTGCGAACAACCCCCCGAACAGCTGCAGTGACAACGCCTGCGACTGACCGAAAACTATCGTGTATCTACATGGCACCCTCTCGGACACTAGCGCACAAGGCTGACGGAACCACAAGCCCCCCCTCGTCAACTCCACACATCAACGCTGATTGCCACCGCCACAAATAAAGACTTTTAAGACAGTAAGCGCTCACAGTGAATCACAGAAGTTAGATGCAACACAATTCCGTTGTGTGTGTATGTGTGCTGTGCTGAGTATTGATGATTGCATGTTGCATCGACCGCACCAACCGACTGACCAAGGAAAAGACGTCAGCGCCAGCGGGAAAAATCAAGGGCCCTGCAGGGAGACAAAATTCGAAAAAGCGCAACGCACTGAATGCAAATGCCAAAATGAATCTACAGAACATTCCAGAGAGACACACACCACAACCAGCTCCCTCAATACATGCCATGCCCTCGCCTGAATCTACCAAGCCACTGATGGAAAGAGTCGAGGACCGCGAAAGGGATATTTCAAGCCCAGCCAAAGCCAGGATATATCTTTTTGTGTCGCATCTCGCAGCTTGATAATCGTACGCTCCCCAAGACCCACAGGTCATTTTTGTAATGTGTGCGTATGTGTGCCCCACCTATTCTGGCTTAAATCTACACACCTTTCGTTGTACAGATAGCGCCCGCATTTACGAACCTCTAGTATTGGCCGAGCTTAGTTCCTTTAGTGGGTTACAATTTGCCGCTATACAGGCTTTTGTGTAGAAGTTGTTCACCGAGGTCGCAGATTGTGTTCAAGTCCATAGTTTTGATATAATGTTGAGCATGGAGTTCTCAAGTGCGGGTGCTATAATGTAACATGCTTATCAGCCGGGGTAATACAGCAGGAAGGTCACACAGAGGTTTTACTTTTTACATACAAATATTTTTTTTGTGCCCACCTTTCCTCCTGGGTTGGTTGACTCATTTTGTATCGCGAGAAGGGTTTTGGTGATGCCTTGCTCTCGTCGACCGTGAAGTCGAAGCGTGCACAGTAGTCACGAATAAATAATCGTTTCCACCACAAACTTCAAAGTTTTTAGGTTAGCTCATGAGAAAAGGCTAAGTTGTTTGTGCACTTTGAGGGAAGAAAGTGTTGCACTACTCTCGGGTAGTACATCGAAGGCAAGCACCGCGGGAGGGACGAAAGGGGGCCTCAGAGAGAGGAACCCTTCTGTGTGACGGACCTCGGATTGGAGCTCCTACATGGCATAAAATGCTGTGAGCACTGATTTCAAGTGATGAAAAAAAAAACTCACAAAGTCATAGCCGTTCGGCACTCGCCACAACAATGAAAGTCCACAGGGCGAATGAAACTCCAACCTGCCACAAACTGCTGTAGATCTGCGAGGTTAGCCAAAGGAAGCGACCTGCGGACGACCTTATAGGTACACATTGAACTTTGGCAATTGCAGGGAAGAAGACCAGCGATTATTTGTGATTGCCCAAGGGGGGATCGTGGAGCGACAAAAATACTTGTACAGGGAAGGCCATCCGAAAAAAAAAGCCAAGTTGCAGGCTTTGGCTACTGCTTGGACCTGTTGTATCGCATATTTTTGTCACCTAAATAGAGGCCCTGAAAAACTTAAGTTGCGGGGAGGTACCGGGGGCCAACGACGGTGATTGGTTAACAGGGAAAACAAGATCAAGCTTTCTCTGCCCGGACAAGTGGGACTTCGATATTGGGTGCAGCAAAAAACATTTGCAAATTGATTTTTTTTTTGCTGAAACGACGTACCCGAGTTTAACTGTGCTCCTTTTGCACCCCCCATGATGAGCTGACCTCGTGATGGCGTTACACCTGACAGGACCGCATGTGGCACACTGGCCGAACGGCACCCACACGCATCGCCCACTGCCCGCTGCTGGGAAATGCCTGTATTGCAATGATTCTGTAAGCGTGCCAAATTTTCGCGTTGGGTAGGTTCCTGTAGAGGTTGCTTCCCACAACGTACGATTTCGAAAGCCAACGGCCGGTTATGTGCAGCGAGACAGTAGAACAAAAGTTGTAGACAAAGCCTGAGGATGAGGCTTGGACCACTGGCACCGCCTGCTGATGCTTAGCTTCGTGTGTGTGCTGATAGAATTTTACAGCTCCCGTGTGGTGCACATGGTCTATCGCTCTACCTGTTTGGTCACTACGTCATCTCCGTCAGCGATTCCGCCGCCGTCGGATGTTGCTGAACCTCGATTGGCATTTGGGTGTGGCAAAATTACGGAAAAACGACGCAAGCCCTTTATGGCCAAAATCCAATTGGTTAGGTCCATCGAAATTGGGTTCTCAATTACTTAGGTACAAGTGTTCACGTACAGACCGTTACATGCATAGCATGCATATTATAGTTCTTAATTTATCCTTTTTCGAGCCTAGATTTCTTGAGGGATGTTGACTACACTGTAATTTGATCAAAAACCCAAGAGCACCAGGAAATACACACGAGACACACAAGCCCAGTCGGAAGGCATCGGGAAAAACAGAAATCGTTGATTCTTGCAGAGGACGGCTGTAGAGGCTCCTCTAAACATACGGTACATATCATCATGAGTCTTCCTCCACACACCTCCTTTGAAATCAAGAAAAAAAATGCATCAGTCATAATTCAAGAGCCAGAACGGCAGGCGCTCAAACCAGGTCAGTTTTGCATGTAGAACTTAATCTAGGTGCTGATATCACTAGAGGACACCCTTTAGCAGCCGGGGGGCTTTGTCGGTGCGCTAAAATCTGCCTCTTGGGTTGTGTATCGAAGGGTCGTAGTAGCGGCCTACTCTCCGCGAACTAGACCAACACCCAGTGTCTCGTACTGCTTGTTCTCGCCGCCAATGATCCCAATCTCGTGAACTGCGGGTAAATGCAGTAGCTGATGCCGCAAGCTACAGCTGAGGACCCGTGGTTCAGGGGTTTTGCGTCCGTGGCGGTGAGCACGGCTCTGACAAATGTTAGGTCAAGGCGCAGAGTACGGGCTATTTTCAGAGACTGCTGCGACCTTCGAAACAGTAGCGGCTACGGTTTGATAGAGGGTCAGGACACGCCAATTTCCCTCTCTTGAATCCGGCTTTCTCTTATACCGTCTTTGCTACGGTTTAAGAGAATATTATCTTAAAACGAGTGTCGATGCAATAAGAGAATATTCTCTTTAACCGTAGCACAATCGAAATGCCGTCAAAGATGGACGCTCCTCATCCCAATAATCATCCCAATAATATGACGTAAGAGGTTGAGGAGAGCGTGTATCATTCATGTCACGTAATGCTGCATGCAGGCGGCAGCACCTTCGGCTAGCTGCAACACCGCTCATTGTGTTGGTTGGCGAACATTTAACCCAAGTACGCGGTACGCTCTCAACACTTACCTGTGTTGAGAAAATAAATCATGGTGTCGTGCGATACATTTTTCGGAAAAAAAATATACACACAGAAATCTTTTTTTGCGCGTGTATGAGCTCTGTAGTTGTAAATAGTTGTGTAGTTGTATATAGCTGTGCTTGTTGTTCGCACCTCTTCCAGAAGGACAACACGAGCCTACGGATGCACCACCAGCACATACCCAAGCAAAAATCCACTCGCTCACACGCTGAACCACTCCTACTCTGCCAATCCCCTGCACACAAACCAACACCAACCCCAATCCCATCCATTTGAAGCCCCTGGCGGCTTAATGCTGCATGAAGGCTTTTGATGTGTTGTTTTCTTCGCCATCAGAAGTAAGAAAATACAGCAGGAATAGGAGGATCAGCAGGATGCGACAGCCCAGAGGAATAAGAAACCCCTTTTAAGAAATTGACCGACTTCGGTTGGTCCTTCTGCCCAGAATAAGAAATTGAGGCTCGACCCGATTTTGACGTTTCTTATCTCCGGGCTCTATCTGTATGTGTGTTGTGTGGTGTCCACGTGGTTTCCAGATGTTCGATTTAAGAGAAAGTCTCAGAATTGAAGAGAAAATCTCTCTTAAATCCGGTTTAAGAGAAAACCCATTGGGTCGGGACAAGCCAATTTCGCTCTCTTGAATCCGTACTTTCTCTTACACATTTTCCGTTTACCGTGGCAGCTACTGTAGTTCATAGTTCAGTTCCAAATCTGAACGTGCCAGCACAGACGAAGCGTCTTCATGGTGTCCTCTATTTACTAATAACATGAAGAGTGCATAAGATCTAGACGGCGGGAAGGTTGCTTGGGTTCTGTACGAGAATAGAGCCAGCGTCAGGTTGTCTTCCATCCCCTCTCATCCCCTGGTACTACTGGTAATAATATGAACTTGAAGCGCGTTTCATTGAAAGTATTGGTAGCTGGTCCTTTTGTGCCAGACGCTCCGGTACACACGAACATTCAAACACCGCCGTAGCCCCGGTTTACAAGTGGACACAAGCTGCCGACCAACGACTTGTCATTTGGTTGGCTAAGAAGCGCGATACAAACAACTCAACACACGTACA